TTTTTACTGTCTATTGAGAGGGGTGGAAGATTCAAAGCCATGAATAGCAAGCAATTTTAGAAGTTTCTTGTCTGTCTAAAAATGAGTCTTGGTGACTAGCTCAGACATGGCTCATCAGGCGCTTGTGTCTCTTCCTGGAGTTTCCATGTATTTTCTTCATTGCTTGTTCTTCCCTCTCTCCATAAGTGGAATTTAAGCAGACCAGTTTCTCACACTGTTCCGGTTCTGACGAGCTTTGCTTCTTCAGAAAAACCATAATTTTCTATTTTTTTTGCTCTCTCTCATTGACAAAATAAACAGAACACCCAAAACAAACTACCCCTAACCCCAAACATCATCTAAGCCAACCAACATGACGTGTCACCCTGAGAGTTTGTACTGGAGAATTGCAACAACATTTTCACACGCATCGCTGTGCATGCATTTCTGTGTATCTCCTTCCTTTACAGCTCTGTAGTTCTGACTGTGTTTCTGGCATGTCGCACATGTTTGTGGCACAGAGTCTTACACCAGGGATAAAGCTCTGTCTTTATGGGGCTTGCCACTTGGAAGCAATGCTGGTGTGAAGTACAATGTCGCAAGTGTTCTTAGAGTTTGAAGATGAAGCATTCTGCCTGTGGTATGTAATATTCTTATGCTTTAGATTTGTGCTGAGCAAAACAAGCATGAGTTAAGGTTCTGGGCTGTGGTGAAACAAAGTTGTGTATCACTTGGGCTGCCAACGTCTTTCCTCGCACAGATTGTGTTCTTGGTAAAACGCAGAGCTGTGTTGGTGGATGTGATATGTCTGGTGCTACGATACTTGCGTGTGGAGTATCATGATGTTGTTTGGATAAACATTTGCTATTTACCTTCTTGATGGTGTGGCCTTTCCTTTTTCTAAATGGTAGGTCTAAGTAGTCTCTAAGTATAGACAGATTTTGCAGCAACCTGGTCTAGTATAAGGTGTCCCTGCCCATGGCAGAAGGTTTGGAACGAGGTGATCTTTGAGGTCCCTTCCAACTCAACCATTTTATGATTCTATGATTTTTCTCTAGTGCTCAGTACCTATTCTCAAAGACTGCAGCTGTACTGCTGAGCTGGGATGACCTCAAAGCCCAGTGCAAAAGTAGAGCTGCTCTTTTATCCTGCTACTCTCTATCACTAGCCCCACTAGGCAGAGGTGGTGCTTCAGGTTAATAGTTTGGGTACTTCATTAGGCATGGGAAGGTATATTTTTATGGTATATTTTTATGACACACACTGTGCTGGACCCCTCACCCTCCAGAATGTCTGTGCTGTGGCAGTGTTGCATGCCAGTCTGTGGGTACACAGGAATTCTAGGGCCATGCCCAGTAAAACCCCCTGTTGTCTTGCTGTAAGGGTACATAAGATTCATAAGTATCATTCAGATGGGGTCAGCAGGGTATCTGAATGTTGTGTGTTTGTTCTCAAAAGCACCTCAACTTTCAGGAAGCTCCTGCAACCTGTGTGCTCAAGTAGGTACAGAGGTTGCTGGGATTGCTTGAGTGCTGTGACTGTGTTTATTGACTTGTCTCTGTGGTAGATGCAGGATTCTGCGTTCATTTTCATATTACAAAAGCGAAGTATGTCACAGGATACTGTTCTTCTGTTTTGAGTCCTGCTTCTGAGTTGCTCCTTAGTCAAATCCTCTTTAGCAGCATCAAGGTACCAGCCCAGCCCATAAAACATAAAGACCTGTAATGGTCTTAATTTTTCAGTCATCAGAGCAGGTCAAAGAACATAAGGAGATGGCAGAAAGGTCATACTCTCACAGTACACTGGAGTCCATCCTGCTTGAACCAATGTGTTGGAGTACTCTGGGAGATGGAAATGCCAGACATTACTTGTCGCTAAAGAGCCAGAGCAGAGCTTTAATGAGGGAAAATCTTGGCACTATACCTACCTCGTTTCTTTCCTTTGCTTAGCATTCAGCCTTAGGACAAATTAATCTAAATTGAAATCTGCTGTACTTGCCTCTAAATTTGTTGTCTTTTATAAAAGCATCTCTTCCCTCATGAAGGGAGATAAACAAAGTGTATGTATATATTAAATGTTAATGCATACTAGAAATCACTTTGTTGTATGTTTTATTTAGTAATTCAACATTAACCTTTACATTTGCATCTGTAAATAATACTATAAAAGTGAACTGGGCCAGAGAGCCCTTTTAGGAATTCATTCTGTCATACAGCTTTAAGACTCAGTCATCTAGTTAAAATTTGAAGTGGATGCCTAGAATAAGTAGGTGAATAAATAAATAAAAGTTGTTGAAATGAATAATATTGTCCTTATCTCTTTATCTGAATTCACATAAAGTCTGCAAGTTCAATTTAATCCTTCTACCATCAGTCAGTTTGAGTTTCAATAGAGAGAAGGGCACAAAAAACCCAGACTAGAACCTGGTCTCTAGTTTTTAACTTTATATAGAGAGGGATGCTCTCTGAATGAGACACTGGGATAGATGAGTAGTTAGAAAGAGATTGCAGTTCATGCCACTGAGCTATCTGGAGCTACTGCTGTTATGCTGCTGCAAAAGAAAAGGAAATGATAAGGGCAAAAGATAAAAGAGAATCTAAGGAAATGGATGTATTTTGCTAATCCTTTCCTCTCATGGTGAGAATGGTTAATCCATTGCAGAATACAATCAGGATGATACACCCACTTGCATTTGCTTGTGAGCAGGAGTTAAGTGAGGCTGAGCTGCCTGGAGCCTGTGATTGGCATAACACCATGGTTGTACAGCCCCACGGCTCAATCTGTAAGTTGTACTTGCAGTCAGGAAGCAGAAAGGATAACCAAGTTGTTTGATGCAACTGATGCAATTCAGTCTGTGTGCTGAGTTCATTTTATGTGTTAACCATGTCAAATGACACAAGGAATATTACCAGCAGGCACTATGCCAAAGTCAGGGTGGAGTTGTAGCACTGTAAAATTTTGACTTTGGATTGTGGATTCTCAGTTATTGTTTCTAAAAGTCTGGATGTTCCAAGAAGGTAGTTATCTTAATATTGATGTTGACTATAACCCTACCCTCGAATTTGGAGAAGGAATCTTCTTTTCCTGGCTCCTTTAATTAAAAAAAGGTAAGCAATGCTTTATTTTGTATTTACACAGAATTCCTTTTAGGACAGAGGATTCTCTACCATATTTTTTTAGACAATCACTGGGATTAACTGACCATAAAAGCAGAGGAAGTCCAGATAATGTGGGCTTTTAGTGCAGTGTCTTACCTTATCTAGTGACAATGCTAAAGAAATATGGCCAAATTAGAATATTCAGATCATGTCTGATCTCCTGAAGAACACAAGACAGAAAATCTTTCCTAATGTTTCTTACCAGAAGCCCAGTGATGTTGGCTAGAGTGCAATCTACGTAACTGGAGCCCTTTCTGACATGAAGATTGGAGGATTCCTGCTTCCATCTCCTTTACCCTGATGTGCTTTACCGGTAGCACGAGCTGTCATTGGATAAAACTGGAGTACCCATTGGCATAAATGCAAAGGACAGATTCTTTTCTCTTTACAGATACCAGTTGCATTAAATAATTGATGGGGTCTGAATTTCAGTTTTTGAGTGTCCTTTTGCTAGCTATACAGTGATTTGTTTTGTAGCTGAGTACAAGCATAGCAAGAATTAATCAGCTGCCTCAGGCTTCAGACACTGCTCAGACAGCCCTTTCCAATCATCTTTCTAATTTGTTCTATGGGCCAGCTCTGATGTGGCTACTGCATCTCTGTGGTCAAAGATACTATCCATTTAAGAAATTTTAATATTCAGTGTGAACACGTACAGTTTATCTTCCTGGTCACACTTGGCCATCCATAATAGCGATGCCATAGTACACATCACTAGGTTGTGAACCCTTCTAATCTGAACATGGACCTGCCTTCAATTTGTAAATCCAGTTACTCAAAATCAAATCAAATGCAGAGCCTGTACTCAAATGATATCATTTTCCCATTAAGGACTTACATTTGAATATTACAAACATTTAAGTTTTTCAGCTCTGCAATCAACCGTTGTTTCATTTAAGCCAGAATTTATATCAGATGAAATTTATTTGGAATCCTGTTCAAAATGCTGCCTGATGTTTATTTCTCTGTGATCTAGTAATAAAGTATAGTCGTTATTTCTCAAGGTGTATTTTTTTCCTCTGAAAAATCAAACTTGCTCAGAGTTGGAGGAAAGAAGCTTACATATGTTTTGTTTATGAGTGACTGGAGTATGAAGAATGGTATTTGTTGTATTAAGAAGAATATGTATGAAGCAAACCTGTGTCTGAGACTTAGTGTGGAGTTGCCTGGAAATGTGGTTACATTACAGCTCTGTCATTTGTTAGCCCGAAAGACTCAAAGATCTTTATATTGAAAATTTGGCTTTCAAGAAGAGCCACTTCACTATCTTTAGTGTTTAACTAATGAGCAGATTGATTTCTAACTTATCTCAAAATTTAGACCTTGTTCTGAATATAGGAGATGTAAATTAGAACAATTTCCTTTTCTTTCCCACACAGAAGAGATCTAATTCAATCCATAAAGACGGATCGCAGCATCACCTTGAGTATAGAGTCACTACCTACCACATCAGAGTCACATCACATCTGATTTGTCTCCCATTCTATTTAATATTAGGAATTTACATGTCATCAGTCACCTGCTTTGTGCTGAGCTGACAAAGCCAGGGTGATGGCCAGCTTTGCTATATGTCAGCCAAAGTGAATGTTTTGACAGCTGAAACTGGGAAGCCCAAAAAATATTTGAAAAGGTTTTGGAAGTTCCAGCCTGCTTTTGATTCTCAGATGTTCAGTCTGGGTTAAATGTGAGGGGAGGACATTCCCTCATTAGCCTCCCATGGCAGAAAGGCTGATCGATAATTGTGCAGGACAATCCATTCCTGTTCTTTATGCCAGGGTGATTTTAATACTTTATTTAGCAGGAGTCTTTCTGCTTCTTCTGCAAGGTTTATACTTCCCATCTCTCTCTCTCTCTATCTTTCAGCTGTACAGCTCCATGGACTTTGGAAGAAAATGGCAGCTTATGCACGAGCGGGTCACTCCAAACAGGTTTTACTGGTGAGTTATGCCCTCTGGCTTTGCTTGCTTTGGGCAGGTCATGGAGGCAAGAGGGGCATCTAATTTGAAAGGTTTGGTGGCTTTACCTGAACATTAAGCATACCCTTGGTTTTGGCCATCATCAGTGTTATATACTCAATCCACAGTACATATCTTGGCAGTGCAATAGTCTCCATGTTTGTGCCTCTTGTCTGATAACAGGTGGTGTCTTTTACAGATAAGAACAAGTCTTTTGATAATTGCAAAGCTCCCACTTCTGTGTTATGTACCTACTTACACTAATACAGTGAAACTGTCCAGTGCTTCAGTGACAAAGCTGTAATCGTTTGACCTCCTATTTTTCAATCCTTCTGGAGCTACTTTAGCCTAGAACAGTCTTTCTGCAGAGCCAGCCACTCTAGAGAATCATCTTATGCAACCGTTGGGAGAAAGGATGATTCAGACTCTGCTTTGAAGCACTTTCTGAGGAGCCAGTTTCTTTTTACTGACTGGTGAGAGCCCAAGATCTGCAAACAGTTTGCTAAAAATCTGCTTTGTGACTCAATTCCTTTCCATTTCTCAAGTGTCAACTTCCCCAGTTGGTAAAGTGTCTTAAAATCAGATGATGAAACAGATTTAGTTTCTGTCTCCAGGCTCCTCCATCTCAGATGCCTCTTTTGCAAACTTCTCTCCACCACGTGAAGGCCCAAGAATTGACTTTTAGAGAGAAAGCTGTAGTACTTTCATAGTTTTATTTAGGATCTGGGGCTTGAATCAGATTCTTAATGCTGTACTTAGTACATGTCAGATGATGGTGTGCATATGTGAATGTGTAGAAGTGCTGATTTACAGAATCTCTGTATGGTTAAGAGAAATGTCTGGTCTTTAAGTCCAAAAAATACCATAATACTAAGGAACTAGAGGGTCTTACTTTGAATGGTTAAACATAAAAAGGACTTGGATAGCTTAAAAAGTGACTCCCAATTACAAAGTATGATATATATCTTAGAGTCAAATTCTCACAGAAATTCTTGCACCTCATTGAATGCAGCTGGAACCCAGGCCCAAAATATCTAGATTGTATTAACAGTATTCCTCATGGGAATAGATGCCCATGGGAATTTTAAATTGTTTACATCCTTCTGCAAATCTCTAAACAGCTTTAGCCTCCCACATTTAAAACATGGCTTTTTGGCACCAAGTATGGAGATTTTCCTTACTGTGCCTGTGGATTTTGGACAGTGTGAGAAGGTTTTTGAATATCAAGGAGAGGAGGTTGTAAGGCTCCTAAGGCACATACACTTGCAAAATGTATCAAAGATGTAGAACCTTGTCTGATCATGTTACTGTGCCACATTTCCATAATGAAGGAAAGGAAGTTGTTATAGTCTTCTGGTTCAAGTGGCAGGTGGATGATTGACCTAACTATTAAAACCTTTTGATTTCACTATTCATGCTGGGTGCACATGACTAAGATGAGTGTAGATCCTCTCCAGATGTATTCTTCTGTGGAGTAGAATAGCTGTTCCTTGGGATAATTTTACCCTACCCTTCAAATAACACACGTGAGCTTAGGGGAGAGGCTTGCTTGGTGGATAAAGTGCAAGGGTTAAGCTGACTGGGGAATAAAGTAGAATCTCTTTTTAAAAGATAGACTGTGATGTTGTGGCTTATTTTAGACTTTAATATAATAATCATTATTGGAAACTGCATGTTTGTCCACTCGATACCCAAATGTGTATTATTTTCTACAGTCTATCTCATTTTTCATAGTCTTTTGGCTGCATAGTTTGAAATGCTGTTTTTTAACACTACATTATATAATGTCTCTGTTTCAGGTGTCTTTTTCTCTTAGGAAATGTACAAGTCTTCTGTAGTTAAAACTCATAAGGCATAGACCTAGAAATCTTTATTCCGCTCAGAAACAGTAGAATCCTACTGACAATAGGGCTTCCCAAGAGAGTGAATTAGGTTTTTCCCAGAGTGGGAGGGATTTGAACCAATTCATAGTGCAGGGATCAGAGGTGTTGAAAATGTGGAACATAATAACTCTCCTTAGCTGATTTCTTTCTTTTTTTCTTTTCTTTCCTTTTAAAGCTGTGAACTGTGATAGCTTACAAGCTCTGTCTTGTAAAATCTGTACAGAAAAAGAAATGAAAGGAGAGCACGTTAGCCTCAGGAATTTGTTGATTTCTTTTTATTAGACTTTGAAAGAGAGAAAAGTGGTTATAGCTATAAGTTTCAGAGGGACATGAGCCACTACTCAGTGGAGCTCATAGAGTCATTGAATGGTTTGGGTTGGAAAGCAACTTAAAGATAATCTAATTCCAGTCCCCTGCCATGGGCAGGGACACCACCTGCTAGACCAGATAGCTCAAAGCCCCATCCAACCTAGCCTTGAACACACTTCCAGGAATGGGGCATCCACAACCTCTCTGGTCAGCCTGTTCCAACATCTCACTAGCCTCACAATTAAATTCTTTTTGCCTCCCCATTATTTTTGCTAAACCTACCCTTTTTCAATTTAAAGCCACTACTCTTGTCCTGTCTCTACAGGCCCTAGAAGAAAGTCTCTCTCCATCTTTCTTGTAGCAGCCCTGTTAGCAACTGGAATGTGCTATAAGTACTCCTGGAGCCTACTCTTCTCCAGGCTGAACAACCCCAACTCTCTCAGCCTCTTTTCACAGGAGAGGTGCTCCAACTTTCAGAGAGTATTCATGGCCTCCTCTGGAATCACAAGTCCATGTTCTTATGCTGGCAGTGCCAGAGTTGGATGCAGTGCTTCAGCTGGGGTCTCACAAGAGCAGAGGAGCAGAATCACCTCTGTTGACCTACTGGTCAGGCCTCTTTTAACACAGCCCAGAACACTGTTGACTTTCTGGTCTGCAAGTGCACATTGTCAGTTCATGTTGAGCTTCTTATCAACCAACATCCCCAGGTTCTTCTCCCCAGGACTGCTTTCAATCCATTCTCTGTCCAGCCTGCACTTACACTTGAGATTGCCCCGACCCTGGTGCAGGACATAGCACTTGTCCATGCTGAGTTTCGTGAGGTTCTTACATACCCTCCTCTCAGGCCTATCAAGGTCCCTCTGGATCATATCCCTTCCCTCCATTGTGCAAAACACACCACACAGCTTGGTGTTGTCAGCAAACTTGCTGAGGGTGTACCCATTGTCCATGTCATCAGTCTATCAAATACTACATTATTGAACCTCTTTATTAAAAATTCCATGAAAGATGAAATAATAATGATAGGGCGATGCCAAAGTTGCTCATTTCTGCTGCTCTGCATTGTTCATTTGTAGGGGCTCAGGTAAGCATCCTTCATCAAATGGGACAGTCTTCATCTGATTAGAATGCAGCTGGCTTTATCTGGGGCAGGTTTTGTTGAATGTTTTTGCCTTCAGAGCATGACTTTCATCTCTCAGGCTTCTGAGAATGGGCTTGTGAAGACAATAATCTTCACCTGGTTCATGGGATCAGTAAGCCTGACAGGGAAAGGTCTTAGTTTTCTCTCTGAGACCTTTCCAAATAATTATACCTTCCCTGAGAGAGCTCACATATAGAGACTTTAAGGCCAGGAGACAATTACAATTGCTTCAGAATTTGTAAGATTGGGATGTGAATTTTCACTCAGCAAAGTAAGCAAATCCTCTCTGTCATGGGCACACAAGTCACTCTGTGCATGTTGGTGTAGCTCTAGCAGGCAGCATCTGTGGTGGCTCTCCACTGCCAAGCTCTAACCCCAGTTTGTCACTTTGTTTCCTGGCTCTTGCCTTCAACTTCATTCCTTAGTCCTAGATGTTTGTGCTGCTCACTGGTTTGTAGTTTCGTGTTCTCATCCCATATGGACGTTACATGTCCCACAGTTTATGGGACATCTCTCATCAGTTCCTGAGCCTGTTCAAAGTTTGTGGATGAGCTGAAATTCACCTCTGGGCCACTCATAGTTATAAAAAACTAGGATTTGAGATCTCTACTTTTGTAGTAGTGATTCATTTGTTAACTACACCCACTGATGGCAGTGGCAGAGCTTGAACAGAATGTGTTACTTGATGTGAGTACACGCATCCAAATTTGGCTCCCACGTGCCTTGGCCTCAGAGATTTTAATAACTTAGGATCCTGTAAGGCTGGAAATAGGAGCTTACGCTAATGTGATACAGAAATTCCAAGATCACTCATCTCTCTGAAATTACTCCAGATAACTGGAACCAGCATGAGTGCAAAGTTTGTTAAAGACCTACTCAATGTTCTTTTCTTTCAAAACACATTTCTGCAGCTCCCTCTGGGCCCTGTTCATTTTGTCTCACTGTAACTTAGACACCTGTGCTGTCATGTGGAGGGATATAAAAAATGTAGCCCATATTTTGTACCATAGAAATGTTGAGAAAGTTTCCTCTTCTGTAAAACACATGGTATGTTCTGTGCTGACTAAATGCCATCTCTGTTCTCATAAGAACTCGAAGGACTTGAATTGTCCTCAAGTTGCTTTACTACCTCTGCTTTTTCCTGTGGTGGCAAAATGAGACTAAGGAAGTGAGCAAGACAGTTTGCTTAATGGAGCATTCACCAAGCACTTTGTTCCACCATAACTTTTCCCTCTCATTTTGGGTGACTCAAGCTGACTTTGCATTGTAACCCTCTAGGTGAGACTGGGATAGGAGAGCACCTTGATGAGTATAGTGGGTGAAGTTCTCAAATATTGTAATATGAAGTACTACAGTAGTGGATTAAGAGCACTTGAGGGCACAGGAGTTAAAAGATGCTTTAGAGGTGTATTTGGTCCTTTTATAATCTTATGCCTTAACTCTTTAAAACATGAAGGTTCACAAGGAGACCTATGTTTTCTGCCTCATCTGCTAAATGAATGTGAATATCATTCCTTGTCCATCTGTCTTTGGATGCCCTGCCTATGTTTGCTGAGCAGACACAAGGATCACCATCTTGTGCAGAGGACAGAGTTATATCCTTTGGGACACTCTCCCCTTTTCTTAGGGTCTTCCTAGGCTGCTATTTA